GTGGTTCGGGAAAGGTTCCTAAAGTCACTACCACTTAGAATGGGCCTACAGGGTCACACACCACTAGGGATGGACTTATATGTGAAGAATCCGACGAATGGAAACGAGACTTGACCGAAACGAGCATGAAAAGGAGTTTTCAGTGTCTTGGTCCGGAGCTGACCAAGTTTGGTCAGCCCCGGACCAAGTTGGTCAGATCAGGCAGTCCGGAAGCTCAGTCCGAGGTCATCTGTCCAGGTCTGGTGGGGCTGACCAAGAGTTGGTCAGCCCCAGACCAGACGCTGGAATCAGCCAGACCAAGGACGCTGGAACGGCGGACCAAATCTCCAGGTCAGACGGTCCGCGAGCCTCGGACTAAGCTTGGTCCGCCGGACCAAGCTCCTGGTCCGACGGACCGGGATTTGGAAAATTTCCATAATTCGATTTTAGGGTTTTTCTAAGCTTATTTAAGTTTGGGATTTCGTCCAAACTTAATTAAGGCCGACCTAAAACTCAGATAAACATCCGAGAACCCTAGAGAACCTGTTCTCTTCGATTTCTATTATTACGGGATTGGATCTCGTCTCTTGAGTTACCTTTTTCTTCACTAATCCTAGCAGATACGTTCCAAATCGTTGGAATCCTTCCCGTCGGTGTGGATACGTGTAGAGGGACTGTAACTTCAGTCTTAGTGATTTAGAACAGGCCCCGGATCGAAATAAACTTCAAGTTTCATCGAGAACGAGGTAAGTAACGATTCCCTCGGTGATATACACGATCTTTCGGGTTTTGTAAGTTTGGTTGCGTGTGACGTTTGACTAGATTTAGATCTTTCTTCCGCTGCATGAAACCTAGTAAACCAAACCCTAGATCGATATGATCGCATGCTAGGAACTCGTAGATAAACCCAACAGAAGGCTCATCATGTTCTAATAACATGAGCTCCTCATTCCCAGTCACGAGAAAACCATATCTCACAGGCTCTTGGCGAATCTTGCCTGATCTCCGAGGTTCATTAGTCGAAGTTTGAGTCTCAACTGGCAGTGATACAGGATGAACGTCTTCAACTTGTTCACTCGGCTCAGCGTCTACTCTCGAACTTCCTCAAGTTCGATCCTACTCCCACTGACTCTTTTGGAAACGAACTCTCGCTCCATAAAAATCGCATTCCTGGCAATAAACACATTGTTTTCTGCCGGAATGTAGAAGTAGTAACCCTTAGTTTCCTTAGGATAGCCTATAAATAAACACTTATCAGATTTGGAAGATAACTTATCAGTCATCAGACGCTTCACGTAAGCGTTGCAACCCCAAATTCTGACGAACGACAACGCGGGACACTTCCCCGTCCATATCTCATATGGCATCCCGAAGCTCCCACTCAATCAAGCATATAGGTACGCAACGGTCTCTAAAGCATAGTCCCAAAAGGATTTCGGAAGATCTCTGATGAATTGTATATATTAGTATATTTTTGTATAATATATGTATTGTATTTTACGATATTTATATGTTTATAGGCTTTATCGTGTACAATTTTACTCCAATTTTGATATTTCTATATTTTGTAGGAAAGAACGGAAAATGAACTTCATGGGAATGAGGCGATATCAGATGAGAGCAAAATCAGTCTAAAAAAATAATAAAAATTGAGAAAAAAAAACTAACGATGGCACTATCGTTATACACGATAGCACTATCGTGTACATATTATTTAATATATATATATATATATTAGTACCTATTATATATACATAAGTATATATAAGTATATATGTAAGTATATAATATATAAATATATGCACATCAGCACATGTATATTTATGTACACATAATTACATGTATATATAATATGCATGCGTGCGTATATAATTATATGTATATTATGCATGTGTATTATAAATATATGTATACATACAGATATATATATTAATAATATATACATATATATTTATAAATATATATGCTACGCGTATGTATATATAATATGTATCTGTTTTAATATATATGTGTGTGGATATATATAATATGTACACGTAAAGATATATATGTACATATAATATATAGTGTGTGTATATTTATATATGTGTGTGAGAGGACATGTGAGCCGCCATCCATTTGTTTATTTGTGATAATGTGAAAAGGAAAAAAAACACATCCCTCAATTTGCGCTGTGAAAAGGGGGGAAAGGACATCAATCACTCCTTTATCTCTTTAAAAAGAGAAGTAAGCAGATGAAGAAAGGGAGAGACGAGAACACGCAGAGGAGAGCAAGTGGAGGAACGGAGAGCAAATTTCCAGAGGGCAGAGAGATACAAATACGGTCATAGAGCAAGAATTTCAAGGAGTTCAAGAGCTGTAAAAGAAGATTATGCAGAAAACGCTGAGAACTCTCTCATCTTTATCTTTAATTTTATTATGAATATGTGTTTGATTGTTATTTTTTTTATTTCTATCACGTGTGAGTAGTTTTTATCATTGTAGGTTAGGGATTGAACGAGTTTATATTAAAATCTCATGTTTGAATTATCTTTAAACTTTGATTTTACGGTTTGGTTTGGAGGAACGAATTTTAATGGTATAAATCTTGCTGGCCAGATGATTTGTTAATACAAGAGTTAAAATTCGCATAGAGATATAGAATTAAAACTCGGAAATCGTTCTTTCGGTTAAGCGGTTTTTCGCATCGAGAGATGGTTGTATCGCTTAGGAATTATGATAGCGCGCTAAATGATCTTAGAAGTTTTAGTTTATTTAGAACCGAGAGGTCGGTAGATTAAAACTCCTGAAAAAATAAGGTGAGACTCGAGAGAGCCAACCTATGTAAAACTGAACTTGAATTCCCCGAACCATAACCATAGTCATCGAGATACATCCTTAGAATGATTTTTGCATAACTCGTAAAATCTCGACACCTACAATGTTTTAATTAAATTGTGTTAAAATCTCTGTTTATATTTGCTTTAATTTGTGTTTACATTTAGTCATCGTCACCATCACCCAAAATATCGTTGTCGACTGAAACCGAGTAAAATCCGAAATTATCGCTAAAAACCACAGTGTCCTTATGTTCGACCCTAGAATACTATGACTGACCCGTACACTTGCAGTAGTTGTATCTAGGAAAATAAAACAAGACTAGATCACCTTTTCTCTTTGTCGCTCCATTCGTTTTGTAAGCAGGATTTCTCTAGAATGACAAGAGGTGCTGGGTCAGAAAATCTAGTTCCTTTTGATCCTGGAATCGAGAAAACTGCTAAACAAAAACCGAAAACAACATCGAGAGAGGATGGCAGAACACGGCGTTGTACCCGTACCCAGAGATGCGCATGTAAATGAAGAAACCTTTGCGCAATACAATGCTCCAAAACACACTGAGCTCATGTCCGGTATACGGATGCCGGAAGTTGACATAACAAAATTCGAGCTCACTCCTGCCACTATCCAAATGTTGAGCGCATGGCCTTCCGAGGTAGGCCAAATGAAGATCCCAATGCACATCTCACGAGGTTCAAAATGATGTGCCGGTCTATCAAGAAAGGCGATCAGGTAACCGAAGATGTAATCCGCCTAATCGTTTTTCCATGGACGTTGATCGACGCAGCGCTCGACTGGCTCTATGAACTCGAATTGGATTCCATTCATACATGGGACCAACTAGAGAGTCAGTTTCATGCAACGCTTCTTCTCCCCACATCGCACTCAAGCTGCTTTGAACAATATTCCCTCGTTCAAGCAAGATCACGGGGAGAGTCTGCACGAAGCATGGAAAAGATACAAGGGATACCAAAAATCGTGCCCTCACCCTGGCCTCGACAAGAATTTCCTGATCAATACGTTCATCAGAGGTCTACGTCCGGATACCCGGACATTGATCCAAGCCGCCCGCGGAGGAAATATTTCTCACATGTCCTTCACGGATCTTGAACAACACATTGATCAAATGGTGAGAGAAGAATATTCTTCATTGGAGTCGTAAGAGACATGCCTAGGAGAGCCGCGATTCTAAGTTGCAGCAGGTGCTAGACGAGCTCACCGCGCTAAAGACGAAACTCGCTAATGCAAGCTTTGTCTCATCCACTAGCACATCAGGAGTGCAGCAAGGCGAACTCACTTTGTATGCTGTTGACAAAGGGATAGAAGATGTGAATTATGTCGCCAACAACCCCTATTCCAACACATACAACCCAGGGTATAAGAACAACCCGAATCTCTCCTGGAGGAACAACAACGTCCTGAACCCTCTGCAAAATAACTATCGGCCAATGCAGAACCAGAACCAGCGAATTCCACTAGGGTTCGCTTTTCAGCCGCGGGCCCCACCGACGCAGAATCAAGAGCCAATTCAGAACCAACCCTACAGACCTCTAGCTCAGAATTTTTGAGCACCCGCACCTCCACCGCCACAACAAGACGGTGACTCGAAGATCAAGGCAATGTTAGCACAGCTGTTACAAGGACAAAAGACGCAAGAAACGGTGCTACATAGCCTGAAGATGGACCAAGAGGAGGTAAAGAATCACGTAGGGAGCATGCAGTCTCAAGTGGATGGAATGCAGTAGCATCTAAAATTACTCGACAACCAGGTTGCCCAGATGGCCTCGACGTCTCAAAGACCGAGTGGGTCACTTCCCAGGAAGCCTGAGATCAACCCACGAGAGCATTGCAATGCTATCACCCTGATAAGTGGCAAGCAACTCGAAGAAGTCACTTCACCGGTGATGGAAAAGGGGCAAAGCTCCAAAGGAAAAGAAGTCGTGAACGAAAAAGCTGAGGAAGTCTATGTTCCTCCACCACCAAGACCTCTGTCCATTCCTTTTCCATCCCGCCTGAAAAAGCATAATGAAGACCGACAATTCGCGAGATTTACCGAGATGTTGAAAAAGCTTGAGATCACTATGCCTTTCACAGAAGTCATCCTACAGATGTCGTCTTACACGAAATTTCTCAAGGACATACTCACGAAGAAGCGAGTCGTGGAAAAGGAGACAGTATCACTCAACACCGAATGCAGTGCGCTAATTCAGCATGAGTTGCTGCCTAAACGAGCCGACCCAGGAAGCTTCTCGATACCCTGCAAATTGGGTAATGTCTCCATTGATAGGGCATTATGTGATCTCAGAGCTAGTGTTAGCCTTCTCCCACTATCGATCTTCAAAAAGCTGAACGTGGGAGAGTTGAAGCCAACAAGATGGCGCTCCAGCTTGCTGATAGATCGGTAAAATATCCCGCTGGGATATTGGAAGATGTACCGCTTAAGGTGGGAAACTTCTATGTACCGGTCTGTTGGTTTAGTGCTCTATGATGTACTGTTTATGAGCTTTCTTTAGATACAATCGATGTATTGATACTTTCTATGGTTTTATGAGAGTATTTGATTCATTACATGTTCTTGCATACTAGATCTGTTATGAAATCCATGTATCATTATGAATGATACTAAACTCCCTAGTCTTGTGTCGTTATGGGAATAACGACATAATAAGACTAGTATGATGTGTGATTGATGATCATAGGTATTGGATACAATCACAGTCATAGGTATTCGTTGGAGAACGGAATACTGGATTGACCCGCATGAGATTGTCACATGGACTAGCGTCATGACTTGAATCTCACATGGCGGTTCCATGATTGGATCCTAAGACCTGAGATATCTACGGAATCCAACATGAGGAGTTGCGGGCTTTGAATACGTCAAACGTCCTGCGTAACAGGAGGATTATAAAGGCGTGTATCAGGCACGAAACGAATCATGTACTGGATTGTAGATAGTCAAGACGGAATTTGTACCTCTCGTAAAAGAGAGAGATATCACTGGGCCCCTCGTGTGAGCGAGACTATAGAAATGTGTGGCCGCACTATAGACGAACGTCGTCTATTTCAGACAGTCGAACTCAGTGAACGAGAAAGCAGTCGAATCAGATAAGGTGGCTTGTCCATGCCTTATGTTCGACATATGATATCGCGATACAAAAGGATCATCAACCGGAATCATCTCTAGCGTTCGTAAAGATCACGAACAAACCTTATTCGAGATAGATAATCATAGTGTCTTGCTAGAGACCGCCTACGACTTGTGTAACCAAAATAAGAGATTTCGTGTTATACTGCTATATCGGATGAGCCTACAGGGTCACACACAATAGGGATGGACAAGTACGTGTGCTAAATTATCCCGATTAGGAATCCTAATTGGATTGAGATTCCTAATTGGAATAGGAATCCTAATGGGATTAGGAATCCTATTATGTATAGGAATCCTAATGAGATTAGAATTCTATTACATCTAGGAAACCTAATGAGATTAGAATTCTAATAGGTTTAGAAAACCTAATTAGATTAGGATTCCTAGTAATCTATTCATTGTCAAATTAGGATTTT